CGCGGAACTCCTTACTCTTATCTCGCTGTCTGTTTCTTACAACTAGATTTCTTAAAATTCTAGGGAAGCCATATTTTCAGCGTTTTTGGCGGAATCTTTTCAATCTTTCAGGCAATATCGGACGCCTTTTTGCCAGTTTGCTGTTCCTTTGCAACGACCATCTGTCAGCTTTTGAATCAAACTTTGGTGGTTCTTGCAGAATTGGGACCAGGGCCAGCGATGAAGAAATTTGTCCGAAACAACAAATTAAAGGAAGGGAAAAACGGAAGCGGTCGAAGCTGTTATTGCAATGCCCTAGCTCCTTGTCGCGCGCTTCAGAAATGGGAGAAACGGGCCACTTGCATCTCTGGTGGAACAGTTTACCTAACAAAAAAGCGATTCACATACCTGAACTGATCCTAGGTAACAGCTGAGAAGTGAAACAAGGTTGGAGAGGAATAGGGGACGCGCAGATCCTGAAAAGAAGTGCAGCCCTTAATGGACAACGCCTCGTCTCGTGTTGACGACGCGAATTGTCCAAGTGGGAACAGAGCAACCTTTGGCAGCTAAGCTCACTAAGGGGATTTAGTTCTCAGGCACAAAAGGTGTGGAAAGAATCAGAAAGGCATATTTTTTGCAACATCGGACGAAGTCGATTGCACGAAGAAGAAGGTCACGTTCTCATCAAGGTTTCGTTATATCAAGCAAGGCAGCCACTCGGACTTACAAGGGAGGTCGTTCAGGGTGTGCCAAGCTTTTTCAAAATGGTTTCTTGCATGCACGGGGACCACAGAAGCATGGTTCATTTTTCCTGAACGGCCTCTCTGAATACCAGAAAAGGGGTCCCTAGTTCGATTCCTCGTGGTGACAAATTTTTGCATTTCGAGTTGACGTTTCAAAATTCGCGCAAAATGGAGTTAGCATGAATAATTAGTACCAAATTCATGATTAGGAACGTCAGTAACCCTTACAAATAGACTTTGATTGAAAAACTGGTGAAAAGGTGTGACTAGGGACCCCCTTTTCTGGTATTCAGAGGGCCGTTCAGGAAAAATTAACCATGGTTCTGTGGTTCCCGCATGTGCCTCTATATCATGCAAAAGACCGTTTTGAAAAAGCTTGGCACACCCTGAAAGACCTCCTTGTTAGCATCGCAGAAATGCTTGTATCACTCGTGAGTTAATCTTATGGACTGGTGCAAGCCTGATGTATGTGGTCGCCTTTCGTTCTACTTCTCACTCTTTGTGCAGCTACGGCCGAGGACCCTACCTGATTCATAAAACGCCTTATTTCCTGACTTACTTACTTTTCACACTACTTGTTGCGAATGGTGCGAAGGTTAGGTCAAAGCCTAGCAGAGAAAGAAGTTCCGGAGAAAATGGGCAGGGCTTCCTTTAGGACGCTCCATACCAGAGGGGCATCTTTTAAGTAGGCTATAAATGGAACCAAACCCTAGTATTCTGATGCTGTGGCCCTTCTGGGCGCGATTGCTGTTCCTGACGATCTTCTCAATGTTTACTTATTCGCCCATCGGGGAACTGCACTCGCAATATTGTTTTTCTCCGAGGATATTATTAGCTGTACGAAAAATGAATTTGCTGAACCGTCCAGGAGTTTCCACACACATTCCACAGCGCAGCTGGTCAATCCGTTTCTTTTGTTGATAGAAGGGAAGACCTTTTTGTAATCTCCCGCACAGGAGGTATCAATCAATGTAATCATTGTCAGTTGATATCGAATTTTGATGTTTGCTCACCCCGGTGGGAAGCATAGTGGAGCCGGCTGGGACTGGCCATCTCTTCAGGATAGGGTTAGAATGCAGGCGGGATAGCGCAGCGTTGATGCACTTGGGAGCTTCAGATTGCACTGCGTCTCCCAGAATGTGTCCCATTCCGTTAGAGAGAAGCCCATGAACCTTTCCGAAGGAATCGATTCTTTCCTAACGTCAGCAAACGCCAAAGTAGGAAATCAAGTGGTAATTGCTTGTATCACGTGATGCTTTCTACAAGGCCGGTGTCTCTGAATACCCCAAAGCCGGAAAGTCCATACTTTGGTCTTTTCAAAAGCTCGGGAGCCGTCGTCGGGGTGATTGTTCCGTGCTGTCCTGATTGTTAAGGAACACCTGTCACACCCAAGTATCTCGCAAATACACATTCTCAAGCTTCTAAAAAGCCGTCGGAGTTTTATCCTACTCGACCAATAGATCGGTTATGAGAGTGGAGGCAAACGCGCTTTGCCTGTCCTTCAGAGGGAATTGCACGCCTGGAACAGTCGGTGAACCTCAACTCCGTGAAGTTTTAATGGAGTTAGACCGTGAGAGGTTAGGTTCAAGGAACAGGAGTCAAAACCTACTACTCAGGAAAATATTGCAGTTCGGGTCCTTTCCGGTTTCGCCTTGGGAGAAGTCTTAAATATCTTCTGACTCCACTACCGCTTTCTTACTGAGCCATAGTGGATAAACGACACTTTAGTGGGATGATGGCTAAGACCAATTAAGTTCAAGTACCCGAGCTCGAGCGGATCTGCAGCCATCGCATCACAGCGTACCATTTGAAACCTTAGAACCGCTGGCCTTTCTGAACAGTTTCCGGAGTTTGCTCTTCCTAAAGACTTTCATGACTTCACGGGATCAATGGGGGGGCTTGGGCGGCGTTTTGTAACAGTTAGCGAATGCCACCAACTGGTGGATTGGTCCTTCCTCAACGTTGGACCAATGAGAGCATCAACCGACAGCTAGGGCCATTTAGGTCTACGGTAAGACATGATTGACCAAAACTTCCCCTTCTAGTACACCTTTTTAGTAGCACCTTCCGTAGCAGGATTCATGTTACATAAATCTCAGTGGCTATGGTTTTTCTCTCAAATCGGACTTTGTGTGCAGCTTGCTGTGCAAAAACAAGACGTGGGCGCAGCCGTGTAGGGCGGAGCTCCCACGTCTTGGTGCAGCGCTCCAAAAGAATATACAGCGTTTTGTTTTGTAGAGCTACTGAGCAGGAATAGGAAGCAGGCCCTGAAAGTTCACCTCTTAGCAGGTTCTGTGGCAGCCAAGTCGCCAACTTCACACTTGTCCACAGTTAAAGTGGAGGTGGAGGCTGGAGGGGGTTGTGTTCTAGCGGCAACGTCATCACAGTTGACTTCAGTCTGGAGTGGTGCGAAGAAGCTACTCGTACAAGAGGAGTCTTTTGGCGCCTGTCTAAGGAGTAATGAACCGATCATTTGGTATGTGCGCCGTGGAACTGAGCATGTAAGACACGATCTCGACCGGGAGGCTCCCGAAGAGAGCACAATGATTCCAGTGACCCCATCGTTACCTTTATCCGGGCTTTCCTTCATCGCTTACCAGATATTCGATGTACATTTTTCAAGAGGACATATTATAGCAGATCATCTGATCATCTGTAATCACAAATCAGAAACTGAATCTCATCAAAGGACTGCTGCAAGGCCCTGGCCCTCACTACCGTAACGCGTTTAGCCTTACTGCTATCACACGAGCCCTAACAGAGATTTCCAGCGATACTCAGCGCTCTAGTGATGATTGGTTGCATTACACGTTCCCTACTTATGGAGGTGAGTACCGGCGTTTTCAAGGGCAAGCAAGTGCATGGCTTAAGCGAAGGAATTGCTTTGTTCCTGACTTGAGACAGAGGTTTTATGTTATTCTCTTGTGGGCGCAGTGGAAAGCCCACAGCCAGATAAATTCAAAACGTCCTTATCAGTCCTGACTGAGGTTTTTCTTCGGTATTGGTACCGTGCGGCTCCAATCCGCTCAGCTGCATTGTACTTTTTTGTCGCACCGCGATAACCGGTTTCCCTTGATGGAACACCGTCAATAGTCGCTGGCCGCGTTCAACATAACAACCACACACGCGATAGCATAATCAACTGTTTATGGATGGAAATGTTTGACTACACCTAACAGTTCATTGGAAAACATTGGTTTCATTACGAATTGAGGGCCTAGAGTAAAGCCAGGGCTTAATTTTAGTCCCAGGGGTCCGTCTGTTACAAAACAAGATTTCAGAAGCTGGAAAACCATGTGTTGAGCACTCCCCTATAAGTGGGCGTACTTGGTAAAAAATTACTTGTGTTTTTATTCTCGTCGCTGGTAGAGAAATTTTGGAATATGGGAATTTTTTTCGGAACCCATAGGTACTGCGTAATTTTCCCGTTTCACTAGTCATGCAGTCGGTTAATATTTACTCTACCCTTGCTCTGCCCTAACCCCTGGCACTTTATTGAGTTTGAGGGTAGAAGAGATTCAGGAAAGGATAGAGTAGGCTAATTGTAGGATGCCCGGGATCAGGATCAACCCTGAAAAATTGGGTGATGGTGGCCGCGATTGTAATTTTGGAGAAAGAAGATGGGGGGGGGAGTGATAGTGTCTTTTCTGACGAAACTTTGTTTTTATTTTTGAGGGCGCTGAAAAGCATTTGTAGGGTTCGGTTTGTTTGGAAAAACTTATATGATATTAATGACATAGTGGCAGAAGTAGGCTCAGCAAAATGCTGAAAGTTTCTAGAGAATTTGCCGTCCTGTCATTCGCTAGGAGTCCGAAAGTGGGCCCGGTGGGTGGAACTGGTTGCACACTATGATGAGTTATGGCCCCAGGCCCGCAGGGAGCTCGCCAGAGAGGTGGTAGGGGAAGGGGGCGTAGCAACCCAGAATTTTGCCCACTTTTTTGGTTAACTCTGGTCAGTAGTCACCTGTGGCACCCCATAGAATCACGCAAAACAGCTGACTGGCTCGAAAGTCGGGTTGTAAGTTAGGGTGCTACGTGAGAAACCTTAACATAAGAGCATGTGATCAATCGATATTAATGGCTAGGGAGCTGGGTAGAGTTTCGTGTGGAACTGCTCGCCCCAACGTTTTGTCTTCGGCCGCTCGTTAAGAGTCCATTCCCCGGTTTTCGTTCCCAATCTGTCCAACTGGGGGACAAAAACAGCCCACCACCCGATATCAGAAGGAATTCCCTTCTTGGTCGCGAGCTGTTTACAGTGGCATGCCAACAAAGTACAGGTCCACTGGCCAACAGACCGCCAGCAGCACCACACAAGACCGTCGCCGTCGTCGTTCTGCTCTTGTCGCCTTCACCCGTGAATAAACTGGCTCTGGCACACCTGTCGTTGTTGAACATGCGTTGGGTTCCACTAATACGGCAGTTCTTCGTACCGTCTATAAGGACTTTCTGTACTAATGTAAGTAATCAATAACCATCAAATAGCCGTGTTAGGGCGACCGATAAAGATCAAGCAGCTGGCCCGTTGTACCAACTAAGGCCTTCATATGCCGACGGTTCACCTTTCAAAGAGTCTTCAGGTATAAGGCTTCTTTAGCGTACGAGACTAAGTAGTGTGAAACCATAAACCAGCGCTTGATCAGGCAAGGAGTTGATCAATAAATCAATAAGTCTTGGTTTATATTAGCTCCAATGCTGATATGAATATGCCGTGATTCCCTTGAAATAACTCATTTCTCTTTCAACCCTCCCTCTATTGCCATCTAATCGCCACTGTGAGGCAATAAATGAATCAATTCCAGTCAATTCTGAACCATGCTGAGGCAATCGATAAATCAATACCAATCGATTCTGTTTTCAGAACACTGGCGCCGGCAATGCGTCGTTACGGCAGATCTCTGACGATGCCTTCTACGTTGTCAATGAGGTTGTCATGAAACGCCTGGGCCATGTGCCGATCCATAAGGTTCGTTTTTTATCAATTAATTTGTTGGTGATTATTGATCGATATTGATTTGTGCAAGATGCACTGGGTCTAATCGACCCCGTGCCATTCCCACTGACCTATAAAAAAGTCAGTAGGGTCAATGGAGATAGAAAGCCAATGAGTCAATTGAAATTTGACAAAATTCGGGGATTGCTGATTCAACTCAAAGGCCAACGAGTTCACAGTTCTAATTCCACGGTAACATTTTTTGTCTTCTGGCGGTCATGAAGAACAGCTGACGCAGTAGAACCGGTCCTACCGAAGTTGTAAAGTCCCTGCAACAAACCCCATTGCACCCTGCTACGAGCTAGGTTGTTTAAAAGTTGAACAATTCTAATCATAGAGGAGTGGATTTGAATTTCTGCTCAGCTTATTCCTACCGCTGGGTTACGTCAGCCGGTGAAGTTCAAACAAACTGCTGAATTCAAGCATCTCGCAGACTTAAGCCTTAACTCTCATGGTTGAATTCAGACGCTTGAATAATTTGCGGAGCTCGAGGGTCTTGGTTGTTTTTTTCTGGTCACTTTCGAGAAAGCCACGCCTCTTCCACTCGAGCCACGCCCCTTTTGCTCGGCCAACCATGACTCACACCCTATGTGTGCAATAAACTGTGTATATGTATAAGCTATGCTGTACTACGCAATAAACTATATATGTACACCTAGACTGGGGGCTTATCTGGTTCATCTCCGTGAAATAGCATAGTGTCTTACTAGCACCCGCCAGGTACATCAACGTGACATACGCAATCGATTTCACAATTCTTCGTACAAATCTGTCCGATCTTTGTGTTGGTATCGGCTTGTGTTGTTTTCTCACGGCTGCCTATGCTGCGTTCCAAATGAATCAGTAAATAAATAAATAAATGGGTAAAGTTGTAAGGCCTCTGCTCCAAGTGGATGTTTATCCTCCTAATTTTCAGATGAAAAATGCGAATCCAATAGTAAGCTTTGGTAGGAAATCACTTAAAGGCTAATCTGTCGGTGTTATGGCCAAAGTCGAGCAGAAAGCCTTCCTCAGTAGCGAGATCTTGGCGTGGAGCCCGAGAAACATTAGTAAAACAGGTTTGGTAGGATGAAGACGTTTTCACAGCGATAGTTCGTATGCAGCCACTTACCACAAAGTCCTTAGCGTTTTGCTCTACGATCGAGACGTGAGAGTCACCATGCATGAAGCCGTTCAGCTGAGGTCGAAAATTGGTACGAAATCGCGAAATTCTGAAGTTCGGCCCCATAGGGAATTACTAGTAAAATCTTGTGGCGAATGGAACAGCTACGTGACTTGGGACACTTTTCAACGACCTTTGCTCTACCCACGTTCGTAGCCAGGTGCCCGTCGGTCCACGTTTGTCGGCGATGATTTGCGACGTCAGGTGGTCGAACTGAAAATGATGGAAAACGCGGCGCTGTTTGAATAGGAACCGATACGTTCAAGGGTTTTGTTTATCGATTATCAGGCGCTAATGATCAGCGAATTGAGACTTCAGCTTGCCACAGTTCATTGAGGGAGCTCAAGGACAACTAAACCGTCATGTGAATCTCTTGAAACCACCGGCAAGAGACTACCGTTCTG